GAAATTTTTTTATGAATTTCTAGCATAAAATAATTTATGAATTTTAGTGATATTTACGTATTTTGTCAAAATTCAAACTTTGAATACTTATAAAAAAAAATGGTGACTATGAATTTATTTTATTTTTCAACTGCTATTGTAACAATATGTTTAAAACCTTKTATTACATTTTCAAGATCTTCTACCAAAAAAATAAATTTTTATCGATATTAATTTAAAAAAACTAATAATGATCGAAAATAGCATATTATGCCTATGAATAGTTCAAAGTTGAAATTTTTTAAAAATTGCATGGTAGATAGAATAATTCTTATATAAACATTTGGTGAAAATTTCTATGGTCATCTATTTTAAAGTTACATCAAAAACCAAAATCGATTTWGYCGAAAACTGATTGTGCATAAAATTTCCCATTTTTCCTTTGAATTTGGGTCTTTGCACAGAACCACGGCTTTAGATAGAACTATCTATCTAAAGATTCTAAAGCCGTGCACAGAACATTCAGAATTCAGAACATTAAAATTTATAAAACTTGGGCATTTGATAAGAACAATATTGATAACATTAACTAATGACGTCATGGATTCGGAGTTTTTTCCTGCGAAGATCCATTCGTTTTTTTGGCGTCGACCGTTATCACTAGTATTCGGTCTGCCGGACGCCGGACGTGTCGTGACTGAGGACACCGAGTGTGATTGTGTGAAGCTATTCTGCGATAGTCGACAGTCGTCACTGTCTATCCGAATCTGTTTTCGGTTGGTACGGCGAGGTGTCCATTCCAAATTCCAATAATTCGAATACTATCGAATAAATCGAAACTATCGAATAGTTCAAATGGACCGGACTATCGAATAATTCGATACTACACATAGTGTATCACTACTTCACTTATAGTCAGTAGTCGTATCAGGAGTCAGGACCGAAAGTAGAATTTCATTAAAAACCAAAACCGCCATAAGACCTAAAGATCGATATTTGATTTAACCGAATATTTATTATTTTTAGTACATCATTTTGGTCGTGATCTGGTCACTCGACAGATTCATTCATTTGAATTCATTCAGTCGCGACCATAGCAACTCTAATCCAAATTAAATATGATATTGACAATAAGCAAGTTGACCTGCAAAATAAAGCCACTAATGAATTATGTGAGTACTACTACTACTGAATTGTTATTGGTTATTTGGTGACATACACATATTTTCAATTGAAGGGTTTTTATCGAAAAATATCTTAATATATCAAAATATTTTTATGTATGTAATTGTATAGAAAAAAAAATAMCAAAARGGAAGCGATGRACACCCAATATCACCATTTGTGTCTGCCACTGGGCTCTTTTCAAAACACTAAAAATCACATTTCAAATGTTGTATTGAGTTTTTAAGTACCTTAATACCTAATTTATATCCACTAAAACACTTACGGTATTATTCATGYTTAGTTGGCTCGTTTTAGTACACAACTGAATTATAAGTTACGTGTCTTAGTATCTTAATTACCTTGGTCTAAGATGTTATAGGTACCCTTAATTTTTTGTATTATGATTCAACTGTGTGTATAATTTATATTTTACAATTTTTAATTTTTGTTATACTAAAGCTTGTGAGGGGAATTCAAATTAATTTAAATTCAATTTTATGAATATTAGCCATTAAAACACTATAAAAGTATTTACAAACCAGACATTTTGATTTGATTTTTAAAGTTTTCTAAACTACTGTACACTTAAACAAATTAAAACGCCATATTTATAACATTAATATAGTATGATGACTACATACAATTTTTAAATTACTTTTTCTTATGAAAATCAGTGTTTTTGTATAAAAATACATTCATAGAATTGTAACTTCTATGTATTTAAACCAACCATATTACGGTCATAATATTTCATGAGTAGAAAAATAACATATAAATATCAATAATTATTGAATGTTTTGTTTATTGATTTATTAATACTTATTATTCCAGAGAGTTTATTCTAAGAAAATAGATGAAGTACTACCAAAAAACTTATTAGAAGACATCTATACAGCATCACAACAAAAGCAGCTGGGTATAATTTATGATAAAAGGCCATTTAAAACTACACTAGAAAAAGACAAAAAGTATAATTGGTGTTCTTGCGGTATGAGTCGACAACAGGTATGCACAAATTTATATACAAACTTAATGCATTATTAACTTAAATTAAAATAACATAGTTACTATAATATTCTAATATTATTTTTAACCAAAAATAATAATATTTTTATTTACTTAATTTTAGCCGTTTTGTGATGGTACTCATAAAAATCAAAAACTCAGAATAACAATGAAACCAGTTMGAGTACAAGTTGCTGAAACCAAAGAATATTGGCTATGCAATTGTAAACAAACATCGCATCGACCATTTTGTGATGGTACACATAGACAACAACACATACAAGATGCAATTAAGAAATATTAATTACTGATTTCTTAATATTTTTTGTATATTTTAAGAGATATAGTTTTTTTTGTTAGGGCACATATTTTCAAGTGAAAAAAAAATATAGTTTTTCAAAGACTTGTTTAAAAAAAATTGTGCTATTCTAACACTATTTGTTTGTTTTTTTTTTCAATGTAATTTTATCTTAACTCTTAAGGTAACTATAAAATAATAGTGATTTAACTTTTGGCCACACAATAAGTTATAATAATATAAAAACAAAATTATAGTAATTAATTAAACTCTAAAAAATATGTAAAAAATAAAGTATGTTCATTTCAAACCTGTAATAATATATAGTGTTTAAAGCAAGCGTTGCCGTATACAAAACTACCATTAAATAATAATACTTAGCACACTATATATATTGTTTGTTTTCAAAATGGAAGAAATTTTAAATTATAATTTATTCGATGGCTTTTGATAAAAACTCAATAAAACGTTTGCCATATTGTTCAGGATCGCATGTTGATATGCCATCCACATTTGATCCATGCTTCAATGTTTTAGCTGCTTTAGCTGCCTGCTTCTTTACACCATAATGTGTAAGTACATCAATCAATGCAATGAAATAAATTTCTCGTACAGGGGCACCTATATTTTATTAAATAAAGTAAAGATTATAAAGACAATAAGAAACAGTTACAATAAAAAAAGAATCATCACTCAAAAAATTACCTTCACTACTTGGTATGGCATATATATCGAGATCAGGTATTATAGCAGCTGCATCATACTGACAGAGACTTGTATCACGGGCTAATAAACTATGCGGTGAATCTGGAGGTGTATTTGCCCAGGTTACAGTATTTCCAGCACCCTCACTATCTTCAGCGTCTTCATCTTCTTCTTCTGCATTAACATCTCCAGTCCCACTAGCAATTGCCTCTTCCCTTTCACGTTCAGCACGAGTACAATCATGTATGCCTAGCAATAGGCTATAGTCCATCAAATGTAAGCCGGTCAAAAACTAGAATGCAAGTCAAATGTTTTACAAATGTAGAGATTTAAAACATTAATATGACACTCACATCAACATCTGCTCCTAATGTTTCTAATAACTTATCTTTTGCTTCATCTCCAATGTATATTTTTGTACGCTCTTTAACAAAATCATTGTCTTTGTATGTTGGTAAGTCTTTTTCCTTCTCCTTATCTGAAGCTTCTCTATCTACTGTGGAACCTTTGAGATCAAATTTTCTAAAAAAAATAAAAATACATTTTTAAGTTTTTTATATTTGCACGGTATTAATTTTAATCATTTAATATTACAAAAGTAAAATAAACATACAATATCTTGTACATAAATCATGCATAAAAAAAATTAAAATRTTTTAGGACTTGTTAAAAGATCCTATTTATTTATTTTAGTATTATTGAATTGATTAATGTTTTTTCGTACTAATAAGTGGCACACCTATAAGGAGGAAGGGCAAACAGGTCTAAATTGCCACTCTCCAATAAAAATATAAACAAAAGAAATTTTATAAATGCTATTAAATGTGTATAATCAACACATAACTTGGTAGGTAGAAATTTAAAAATTGTTAAAAATAATATATTTTAAATAATATTTAATAACATTAATATATAGGTAACACATTTAGTAAATAATTATTATTTATTAATTATTTGTATGATGTTATCAAATAGCAAATTCAGAAGTAAATATATAATAATCATTTTACTTATTTAAAGATACTATTCAAATAAAATAAGTTATACTTATGTGTGGCCAAATGATTGMTAAACACATTTCTCATGGCTACGACATAATGTTCATCACCGTCAACAGTCAAGCGATACATTCCCAAGTATTGAGGAAGAAGAGTTTTTCCATGTCTCTCTACTATGTACTAAAAACAAAGTTAAAATTAAACTATAATATAATTTATGCATTAATTACTTACAGGATGATAGTGTTTTAAAAATGAGTGCATTCTTTCAACTTCTTCACTTGTTAATGTTTTAATGATGAATAGTTTGTCGTATGAATAGTAAAAACCTGCATTGCTCTTGCCTGTGGCATCTGCTGAAACAGGCTGTGATCTAAAAGGAAAAAAGAAATACAAAATACCTTATAAAATTGAATACATARATGAAACCATATCAGTTTTTGAATTGTTGGAGTCAAAATGTTTGCTGGTAATTTTTAAATTTCAACAACAAAGGAGTGCTACTAATTTCTTATTTTATCCTGTTCTTTATAATATAATATACACTTGAGTTGCGATAACTCGAATCTCAATAATTCGAAAAACTTGATAACTCAAATTTTTTTTATCGCCAAGAACATAATTTAGATAAATTCAAGTTAGGTATCTTAAATAATACKTATCTCAAACCAATTTTTTTATCCCCCTTTAACTTCGAGTTATCGCGACTCAACTGTATTACTGTTATGAAATATCTGTTGATAGTTAGTCAATTGTTAACTTACAGCCAGATATAATATAAAGAGTTTAAAAAAAAAACATTCCATAACATTGAATTAATATTGRATCTAAGATACATATTGATATTTGATACTTTCATTTTATTTTTAGTAAGCCAAAGAAACCCCAAACAAATGACACAACTGGATTGAACTTTCAAATTAATATGTTTTATTGTTAAATAAACTGAAAAAGGTAATTAGTAGATTAGATTAGGTTAGGTCAGAGACCTTATACTGATAGACAGAGTATGACCGGCCGGCTCGGTTGGGTGGTGCAGCCAAGGTAATTAGTGTTATATATTATAARTTATAATATATACTAATATGCAGTTTATTGTATCTAGAGCGCATGTATGGTGTATGATATACTACCTTGATGAATGCTGTCATGCGAGGATGCCAGAACTATCATATTCCATCTATTAGTACAAGGTTTATAGGTTAGGTACATATTTTAATTTCCAACTATAAAAGTTAATCATTTTTTACTTATTAATTAAATTAAAGTAATCGCATTAATGCAACAAATCACTTGCCTATTGAGATGCGAGTAGTATATACTCATAATATAATAGAATAAYAATATAAATATAACTATTAATTGTTAAAAAATAAGAAAAAACTAAGAAATTGTTAGCTACTTTAAAAGAGTTTTCCTGAATTTAAATGAAATACAACTTTATAAAATTTTACTGCATTTAGTATTTTTTTATTATTATTAATATATTCTTTAGCATACTGCATACCATTAATTGATATTGAATCTTAAATTTTTTTTATTCACATCATTAAGTAAAAGTACAGGTATTCACATAAATTTCAGGAAGTGCTCAAATCAAATATTTTTAACTATCCAATACATGAAGGAACACACATAGTTAGTCCTCATTCTTATACCTTCTTTTAATTTCAGAATAATTAACTTTCAATTTCTTAGGCTTATAGTTAGCTGTATCCATATGTAAATTAGGAGTAGTCAAGGATCTCCTGTTGTACATCATAATAGATTTGCTTTGACTTTTGCGACAACAGTAGCTGCTTTCCTCAGAGAACCTTATTTTTGTGTCAAAAACAATTTCATTATAGAAAATTTGTAACAGTGAAAATAAAAATTGAAATTTCAGATATGGAGAAATTAATATCAAATAATAAAATACTTTTTATTTATAGACTAACATATAATCTAATATATAATCATAATAATTATGTTCATAATTGATTTTAAATAGTTTTTTATAAATATACAAATATATACCATTATTTCAAGTTTCAAATACCCTGAGAATAATGTAATGCAATGTCTGTGATCTTAAATTGATTCAGGTATTGGGTATTGTATACTTTTGAAGCATAACATAAAAACCAAACTATCATCCATATAAATTAAACACATTATATTTATTCAGAAAACAATAATAGTTACCTTAATGAATAAATCATAAAATATTTTAAATAACTTATTATAAATGATTACCTTGTCATTGACTCTTTGTAATCCAGATCATCAATACCAAAACGTTCCCTCAGATTACGGAACACCAATGGACAGTATTCTTTGATTTTAAAATGGCTAGGCATATTCTCCCTTTAAATAAATATAAAAATTATTTAGATTGAAATATTAGATTGGATCAAATATGAATGAATACTAACTTGTTAAACAAATGGTTGTCAACTTTAACTTTTGAATACGCTCGAAAATCATCAGGAAGTAGCATTACTGGTATTGTTACATGGCTCAATTCATTAATCTACAAAATTGAAATTAATGATAAAATTTTAACAATGAGGTATAATATTATTAATAGAACAATTCAAAATTAATTAGTTAGAAATTTTACTAATAATTTATCCTTAATATAAAAGTAAACATTATAATTTTATTATAATTACAGTCAAGGATATTTGTGATGGGGTCAAGGGGTGTAAACATATTATACAGTATACACCATATAAGCAGTAGCATGGTGCACATTTATAAACCACGATGTAGTATAAAGTATAACACATATATTTCAGGTACCAACCTACTCTTTATTCCTTTAATATAATATTTTAAATATAATTATTCTTCAACTGCAAATATTTACAATTAGAACCCAAACACTGTCCCACCTCAAAAAAAATTTTCACTATAAAGCCTAGTGGTCATAAAACCAAATGCACCATGCTACCAAAGCATATTATATACAATATACATAAATAAGATAGAGTTAAATAAATTTTTGAGTTTTTTTTCTAACTATAAATTTGATCTATTTTCATAGAATTTTATAAACTATATCAAGAACATTCTAAATAGGCATTTAGTTAGATCCTAACATTCATTTTAATGTATTCATATATATCATACGTTTACCTTGTATTATGAATTTTAATTTTAATTTTAATAATATATTATTAATTATAAATTAAAAAAATATTCATTAATACCTCAGTAATTTATTAAATTTATTCTGAACTAATACTAAAACTAAAGTCATTGAAGTARGCATTAATTTAAAGCATAGAAAAAAATCATAATTACCTATAGATTATTTTTAACAACTTCTTACAAGACTCTTAATTACGGTTTCAATAGTAAAAATAAATATAGAATGCAGACAATTAATTTATTAGCCATGATGTTTTATACTTAAAATTGTGTGATTCCAAAATGAGTTCTGTGGTCAAATATAGATTGATAAAACTATAACAGTCCTGTAAGGCTGAAGGAATTGTTTGATTGTTGTATATTTGTTTTTAATTAATGCTTATTGCTTCAAATGAAAATTCTGATATCAATTTTTATTGTTAGTTCATTAAAAGTCTAACTATGAATGAATATAGATTTTGATCTTTTTCTATTTTAGCCTTTAGGGCTATATTTAATAAACAATTTTAAGTATTTTATACACCTACAATTATACTATAAAACATAAAAAACTATAAACACCAAATCATGTAAGTTGATAAAAATTATATATAAATTACAATCATTAAAAAAAAACTTCAAATTTAATGTGATGAATTACAATATAATACAATATTGTAATTTGTAATAATAATAGACATAATTAGCCAAAAATAGAAAAGAAAAAAGGCTATTTGTAGTATGAACCTATTAACCTATGAATTAATTCAATGGTATCAACTACAGACTTAATACAAATATTTTTGAAAAAATTATCTGTTTATTATAGTTTAATTATTTAATCATAAATCAACATAATAAAAATAGTAAACTTAAATTCGTCATAAATGTTTATTCTCTCATATTAAACATTTCAATTTGGAAAACAAAAATAAAACATTAAAAAACAAAAAACCATACTTAGCTAGAAAGTAATTTGGTATTTGTAATTAAAACATTTTGATCACAAGACCACACACCTCAGCACTATCAATTTTGTTAGCACTCTAATTAATTTTACTAATCACATGTCTCTTTAAGTATATAAAATTATAGATTACAATAAAGGGTTATGAGATTGTTTTAAATTTTAATATAATATTAGATCAATAGAAAAAACTAAACAATAAACAGTAAGAAAAMCCTATGTAACATAACCTAACCTGTGACTTGAGTTATTAAAATATACAACATAGTAAAATGATGATACAATAACCATTTATTTTCTAWTATATGCCTATGMTATTTAGGCATCGTTAAAAGAAAGTAATTATAGAAAAATAATTATTTCAATATAATTCTACCAATTTCTTATATTCATTACACTGCATTTTTCAGAAAATAATTTTWTATAGGTACACATAAATATTTCAAAAAGAGTTAAAATGATTTAAAAATTGTATGGAACATACATAAAAAAAAATGCTAGTCTGAAGATTCAGAGGAAACATCAAGTATCTACGGTAATTTTTTTAATCRCACCAAAAAAACAAAATCAAATTTGTTRAAAATTGGTTTTGCTTCAAAATTTCTGTTTTCCTGAATTCACCCCACCTTCGYCACTTTTAAAAACTACTTGGGATTTTAAATTTTTATCTGGTTAATGCATCATATTACATATTGATTGTAAAATCAATACATCTTTAAAATGTTTTTACAACAGTAAATTGTAGACTGCATATTTAAACGAAGTGCTATAATCCTTGTTAATCGATTCTATCATCAATTACCACTGACATCAAACTATTTATATTTCATTACTCAAAAGTGTTTTGTAGTAGAGTGACACCTATAAAAATATTTTATTTCCGTTCCAAGTCAAATTTAATTTGTAATAAAGCAAAAAATTCCAACTTCCGAAATAACAACTATCTTTAGGTATAATGACAAGACATTTCGATTCCYCATACCCAGATTTTAATTTTATAACATTTTAAAATGGAAACCACATTAATTTTAGTGAACTCAAAATAGACTATATTTCTATAATTAAATAAATGTTGAAACTGGACTGAAAAATCTACACAATATAAAAATTGTATTTTCAATATTTTTATTTGTGGTCGTAATTTTGCTAATACCTAAATGTAGTAAAAAATGAACATAATATGCAGTTAAAAATGATAAGTAATATTTAAAGAAACAATTATAATATATAAACCATTATGAATAATAAATAACTAAGAATTGATTAATCATAAACATATTACTCATTATAATGTAGAACGGCAAATGCCAAATACCTATGATTAAACTGTTTTAGATATAAATTTACTACAATTTTCACTTTCTTTTAATTTGTACAATTGAAAATCCTTGAAGATATTTTTTTATARCTTCCTCMTTTCCCTTATTAAAATTGTGCATTGATTCTACTGCATAACTAATGATGTATAAACAATTTTATTCTTGTGAATAAATGTATGCCAAGTATGGTACTTGACCAAATTATTCATGACAGGTATTTAAGAAAATGCAGAAACATATAAATATAAATAGGTATATAATAAATAAATAAATAATGGGTGGTCACCCAACAATGATATTACCAAGAAATAATGGATATTATTTTAATTATTAATTAAAATATATGTACATACAGTATGATTCACACCCCACATGAGAACAGACAGCAGTGGCTCATTGGCACGGAACAACTTAACCTTCTGTCTTTTCACTCCAATGTGTTTCTTCTTAAGCTTGCTGAGTCCACCTTGTACTACGCTCATATTTATTCCGAATTATTAAGGTAGATGAATAATATCAGGGATTTGATTGTAAGCGTTGAATGTCAAATACTAGAAATCGGGACAAAATGTGACGGATCCCAAATTGCTCGAACTAACTAGTAGACATCTCAACGTCACGATAGTACTGCAGATAAAATATGCTAAAGGTCCGCATTAGAAGACTGTCATTTAAATTGGTCGATAATTTGCTATTTTAAATAATCTGTTTAACTATTACGTTGTGCGATAGAAAATTAGGAAAATGTTAACAAATAACAATAATTTAACCACTATATAAACACTAATACACTATATTATATAAACAGCTAAATTACAGTCCTACACAACCACGGCCGTCTGGCGACAATCATTACTTTATCAATTAATTATCATAATGAAACCGTGGATCAATAAACATCAAATTCCTTTTCTTCATGAAAATAGCGATAACGCTTATCTCATACCTAACTACCGATAACTGGCGATAACCCATAGAGCACGGACCTAACCTAACCTAACCATAGTAATACTCTATTCGATAACCACGGACTCGTAGACCTTATAATATATATTAGTTTGCAAGCAAATATGCAAACCTTGCTATGCACCATGAACTAAGATATTAATATCTTAAATCGTGCTATGCACGGACCATATCTTTAATCGTGGCACGGGCCGACCATGGCTTGAGATAAACAGGACTGGAAACAGTGGAAACGAGATAGATATTTATGGAACTACGGTGTAATGCTTCTGGTACTGGTACAAATGCGATTTTAACGCCGTCTATGATCCATTCTAAGAAATATTAATACATCAGTGTCCACTCACTATCCAGTCCACGGTCTTAGAACTTAGAAGATAACTTCTAAGACCGTGATCCAGTCATTGTATATTTATTCAATCATGGTCCAGTACTCCAGTGATCATTGTTATTTGTTATTCATTAGGTAATAGTTACTATACTACTGTTTAAAAAATAAATATATCCTTGTAACTTGTAAGTTTTTATTAATTATTTAATAATCCTTGTTTTATATATCTAACTAAAATTTTTTTTTTTTTTTTAAGTACATAATAATATTGATTCAGTTTTAAAGTATTGTTGAAACTAATTGTAAATTAAAACCTCATTTTAACTGAGGTATAGTGCGTTTCATTTCTCTATTCATCGGTAATTAGTACCTAATTAATGTTATTTATAATTTAATTATTTACTTATATAAATACTTCATACATTATTTGGATGATTAGCATATTTATATATATATATAATGTCTTGGTTTCTTAAATGCTTTTCACAAACAAATGTAGCAAGCCAAATTTGATCATTGGCATTTGAAATTGTTTCATTCCAAGCAGTAAAATATTAACCACAACCCCTATTTTTCACAAAAATTTGTACTACCCATATTTTAATGTACCATGAAATAATACAGAACCGTGGGGCTAAAAAATTGTATTTTTTAAAAATATGTATAATGTATTCTGTACTACCTACTACTATAATCTAGCAAGTAGTCTTATTTATTAGTATTTAGTATAGGTACACACTTCTTGAATCCGTAGTGCACACTTTCAATTTMGGATTATACACTTTATGTCGGGGTTCACTAAAAAATAGGGACTGATTAACCACATCTTTTGGACTTTCAAATAAAGTGTATTTTGTTCCCTCTGAAGATCCCGTAATACAGCCATCCGTCCACAAAGCATTTTAGCGAATAATAAATGGATAATATCATTGGTAAAATGTGGTAAGGTACATTAAATACTAAAATGATGCTAATACCTAAGAGCTAATAGTAAATAGGTGCCTATAAATGTATTAAACTATTGTAATTATAAATAGAAATAATATCAATAYGCAAATAAATATATGTGTAACAATTAATGCTTAATATAAAAAAAAGAGCCACATTTGTCCATGTACTGCAAGCGTAACACGTTCTATGGTTACACTATGGTTCCGGTTACCCTCACWCCACCAGTCTAGTGTAGTGGCCTGTGTTATCAATTCTACATATCTGTGATTAGAGGAACCTTTTGCGGATTGTACCCCACTGCCCGACTGCCCCATCACACCATTCAAATATTTAAACTCTATTCTATCACCCGCCGAAAATGTCTTCCTCAATCTCATAATTATTATTGTCATATTGTGTCAGTGTGTCACTGCTATTATATATTATCAAAGTCAATGCCGATGCCTGATGGAAATTTTGTAATAACAATTTAAAATATTATAATTCATAATTAATAAACATATGGCCATACTACTGCTCTACTCTGTGTTTAGTAAGTAGTAACACTAATAACTAGTACAGTGAAACCTCTAAATACCGGACACTTTCAGTCGCTTAAATTTCGTCCGCTATTTGGAGGTGTCTGCCATTAAGAGGGGAAATACAGTGAGTACACATTTCACCGTTCCCAAAATTCCGTCCGTTATTTGGAGGTGTCCGTTAAAGGAGGTTTCACTGTAGTTAATTTAGTTAATTGTCAATATATTATTACTTTAGAGTGTAGAGCCACTAAAGAAGTAAAGACAGTCGTGTGTACTACTACAACAGACTGTCTTCCATCTCCTGTTATTATTGATTTAACTTATTTTGTATTTTATTCTAACAGACATTGGGACAAAATAACATTCATTAACTTTAGGACTAGACGTTGGTACATTGTGTTTGTGAATATGACGACATTAAGAGAACTGAATATGAAACATAAAGGAATTATAAAAAAAACCTTAGGCCAAGATGTAACATTGCAGATCCCTATGAAAAATTTTGGTAATATTTACTAATATATAATACCAATGTTTATATTATAAAGACATGTAAATTATTTAAATGACAAGGATAAGTTTATTATCACTGTCTACCACTCAAAACTATTTAATTATATTATTTTACATGTCTGTGACCTATACATAGATACAATTTGAGTTAAAGTTACAACAGTGTGTAGATCTAAAAATGATTTGATTTTTAAACATTTGTATTTTATAAATTGTTTTCTCATTTTGCAGGCCAATTTTAGATTTAGATAAATCTCAATTACTGGTCGATGTAATGGAGAAGTAAGTTGATAACTTATATATTTTTTGGTATCAAGTAATATGTATAGCCTTAGTTCTAATCCAGCATATTATTTTGATTACAAAGTATAAAAAAATTTAAAGCATTTAAAGAAAAAAAAAATAACTTTTGGAAGTTCATATTATGTGATTAGATAGTTATTATATAATATTTTTTTTTTAAATTAAATTGTTTAATTTACCTACTGACAAATCAATTGTATTAAATCCAACCATACAAATTATGTAATATTTATCAGATTTGCTTCAAAATTAATTTTTTCAGATCTATATCTAAGGAAAATGGTAAATTAAAAGTAAATTGGTTTACTTTAAAGAAATTACCTTTGGATATACGTAAATGCCAAATTAAGAATCTTTCCAACACACATAAGCATAATATAAGTCTTAGTTTAAAAGCACAAAGGTAAGTAATTTATAAGGTTTTGCTAGTAAACTTAGTAAGAAATGTAAAATATTTATAAAGATTTAACATGTATTGCTGTAATTGCAGATCAATTTTGAAAATGGGTATTAATGAAGTTAGTAGATGTGTTGAAAAAGATCAAATAGCTTGTTGTTTGATAGCAGAAGATGTAGCAAATTGTATGATTGCCAAACATTTGCTTTATATGACTGCTGCAAAAAAAATACCAGTCCTAATTCTTCAAGATATGCGTTCTATTACAAAACGTATTATAGGTTTTTCTTCTGCAGTATTAGGATTGAAGGTTTGTATCGTTTTTACTATTCATAAATGTATGAAATAGTTAATTTAGAATTTTAATATAGCRTTGTTTCTATTTTTAGAGTGATGTAATAAGTAGAACTGAAAGTTCCTTGCACAATCTCTATCAAACCATTCTTCAACTATCAAATAAACTAAAAAATCCATACATCAAACAAATGAGTATGAGGGAATTAAAATCTGTAGAAAACTCCACGCGATTAAATGTTAATATTGAAAATTATTTACTTAAGAAACCTCGTGAAGGTTGGGCTTTTGTACCAGAAGAAACATCAAATATTCAGTCATTAAATGACTTATCATTCATACCAATTGAAAAGATGATAGTTGAAAAACAAAAACCTATTGAACCTGAAGAAAAACTATTTGAAATGCCAATAACTACTGATTTATTTAGTATAGATACTAAGCCTATAGTCATTGAGGATATAGGTGAATCTGTAGAACGTACAACCAAAAAGTTCAGAGAGCCCGTATTGAGATATCATGGATTAAAAATGAAAAAAATGAAACCCAATCCTATAAGAAAACCAAAAGAAAAAAAAAATAATTAATACAAAAAWTTTTATCACATTCTTATTTTCAATTTATCTTGTTTTAAATAAAAATAAATATAAATGAATACATTTTACAAAGTATTGTAAAGCATGTATTTTAATTTGTATTCAATTAAAATTAGATCTTCAATTAACTTGATTATATTTTTTGGAACATAAACACCATATAAAGAGCTGAAAAAATAATCATACAGAATAAAAAGTTTGTTTGTATTTTAATTACCTACAAGGCTTACTTGCAACTTCCCATTCAGATTTTGATAGTGTTCCAACACTATCCACTTTAGTTTCATTTAAAAACTGTTTGGCTTTATCATAATCATCTTCTGTTCCCATGAGTTCAATTCCTTTCCGGGGAGGATATACCTAAAAAATAGAATTAAATTTTAAAGTAAAAATAATTAAAGTTAATATATTATTTATAAATTATTCTTATAATTATAACTAGCTTATTCTTCTTCAGTGTTACCTATGAATTGTGATAAATTAAATAATGCTAGTGGGTTTACCCTGTCAATTACCCTTAAACTATTTTTAATACAGTAATTTGGGTGGTTTAAAAATACAAATATAAATTAAAATAGCTATTTTTTTTATGTGCCCAATGGCAGGATTGCAGAGAATACATTCAGTTTTGTGGACCTATCAGCTATAGTATTCTTTTCTTTAAAAAGCAAATTTTTTAAAATTGACTTAAAGTACACATCCAAGAATAAAGGATATCTACCAAATTTTAACACCTGAGTTCGATAGACTTAAGGCAGGTTTCTACTATATATGTTTGCACATGTTTAACCAAGCAATCTTTAATTACAAAAATGTAACATATAACTTTATGTATATTATTAGAATTATCATTCATCTGTATAGTTATTGATTTAAATTAGAAAAAGTTCTTAAAAATGTTGTATGTGTCATAACAGGAGAAATGATTGTTTAAAAATAATATGAAAATTAAAAAGTACTAATGTATGAAATTGATAATACTGCAATGTTATTATTTTACCTTATACACCAATTTAAATAATATATATATTTAGATATTTAGGACGTATTTATTTTTCATGTCTAAGGCTACAGTTGACCTAAAAAAATTTCAAAATTAAATTCTTTTTTAAAATTTATATCACACATTACTCAATATTATTGCATTGTACTATTAGATCAGTTTTAGATATTAGTGTTGTAAAAATTAAATAAATGGTTATTGGATAATAATTTTTTTTTTTTTTTTAAACTTCTCTAAACTTCTACTAAGATTGGAGCAAATTTGAAAGATAATTTAAGTCATCAATAAAACACTCACTTGAAATTAGCTTTCTTTAAACTAGTGGAAAATAATTAAAAGTCGATTAAAAAGTTGAAAAATTACAGGAAACGAAAAATAAAAATTRGTTATTAAGATTAAAATGCTATAGAAACAAATTATCAGCTAAGAAAGCATTGTCTAAAACGTTCCAAAAAAAAATAAAAATTACATCAACTACTAAGCTCTAGCCATGTCTAAAAATGTTGATAAAGGTGAGACATATATATACAATATTGTTTCAAAATTTATTTCCCATTTATTTTATGTATCATGAAACAAATTTGTATTGAATCAGATTTTTCAATTTCTTAAAAAATACACAAATTCATGAATTTAAAGCCCTGGTAATCAGTGATTAGTAATAAAGCACTATCAACTGGCATCYAATTTATAATAACATAAGTCATAATTTAGTTATTAATATTTTTATATCTACTTATGTTTAATGTTAGCTTATATTACTTAGGAGCATAAAATATTAAAATTATAATCAAATACCTCCAATGCTGTTATACGATTTAAGAAATTCACATCCAAATTTGAATGTTTTTCAAAATAATCTGCAAATGTCATTTTCATTTTTAGTTCTAATCCATAACTTTTTGCTAACCTATTTGACAAATTATTAAAAAAAGTAAATAATAACAAATTAAAAAATAAACTGACTTTTCCAAAGCGGGAAAATAAACTAGGAACTCTGGACAGTCGACAACTCCTTCTAAATGAAAATTATATTTTGCACCAAATATCGGAAATGGTTTATCAATGTCACACAAAAACTCAATATTATAGATACTGTTCCCAAATTGTTTTTTACCACATTCTTTTTGACGTCTCCTTAATTAATCAAATAAAAATTAATATTATACAACTATTTGTGAATTAAAATCATCATTAATATGTAWAATTATATTAAATTGAATAAAAATGTAATCATATAATATAAGCTGATAATTCTACAACTATCTTTTTTAATGCTCTCTTCTACTTAATCTAACATTTTGTTCCTAAAATATCTGTTTGCCCTATTACTTTCCCATCCTGGTTTACTTTACTTATAAACTCAAGAACCAAATGTTTTTCAATTCATGCACAATTCAAATCCACTCAGTTGGTAACTTGATATCTGATTATCAATTATCAGCATTCATATTTCTTTATACCCTATTTATGGTCAACTCTAAACATCGTCATATACGCTAACTATATGACCCATAATGAGTCTTTCTATAATCCTCATTCTTTGAGACTTTGCTCGTAAGAACTCTTATTCTCTTACTGTGCCACAATTAGAAATTTATAATCATGTCCTGTACCCACTAACATATTATTAGTCAATGGTATACCTACTAATCTTTCTAATGCTGCAAAGCTCTTCTCAAATTTTTTTTTTTTATTCAATGAGTATGCATTCTGAAATTGTATTTCCGTTGGTCACATGGATTTTGATGGTCTTTCATAAAAAAAACCTTGAAATGTTATAGCAGAACCTCTATGACTACTTTAAAGGCGTTCAATCATTTGAAGAACCATTTCTTCCGTCTTAAAATTTATATCTGAAATCTGATGGTAATCCAGATGTAAAAAATGACCATTTATTACTATTAAACCACACTTAACCGAATTGTTTGTGACATTTGTGCTCCCTCAATCAATTATATTATTCTTGTAAGTGAGCACCTAAGTTTTCAAGCAGGTAGATCAAGGATTTCTAGTAACCTTATTCTGGGATCAGTGGGATCTAACATATTCTCATAAATAAAAGTCATACACTGCATTCAAGAGGATGCCAGAGCATTTATTTTCTCTCTCTGATCCATGCACAACATACCAAATTTTATGCTCACAATAATGATATAATCAAATAATTTCCAAAACATAGGTTAAATGACTTCCTATAAAACTTAAAGATAAGTTTATTATTTTGGGCATCTCAGAATTGTTATTGAATTTTAGTTTAAAAGTGAGCTATAAAATTATAGTTTGATTTTACATCTTAAAATATGCTTAACTTGCTTTAAAATTAAAACACAATAAAAATCCTATAAACAGCCTTAGATAATAACAATAATAATCTTATGATTTTAAAAAAGATCATTTCACTCCAATTTTAGAAATTATTATGATTTTAATCATTATTGTAAATTTGAAATTTTATATGTTATCCATGGATCAGAGAGAAAAATAAGTGCTGACATCCTCTGAATCTATATTTGATTGTCCCGCCTATGTTGAAAAAAGTTGATTTTCTTTTCTGTATGAAACCAGTATAAGATTGAAAGTCCTGAAATACTATATTGTGTCTATTTTAAGTCATTTTCTGCCATACTTATTCTTCTTTCTGTTTCCATAATACTTTTATTTGGTCTTCTTATTTTCTTAACTCTACGATTATCCATTACGTATTGCAAGTTGTTTTCAATATAAGTCAGCCTAGATTCTGTATTACTATAATATACAAGTTTTGATGTACTGTCATCTTGTGAATAGGTTCAACCCATAGGTAAAATTAAAATTAAATAAATAAATACATTTTTATTCAACTAATAGTAGTATTTTTAAAATTTACTCTATTTAATTAATGTTACTTACACTATTTCATTGGCATTAGGTATAGTACCTATAAATATTCCACCACTCACCAGATTTTCTGATACATTTTTTAGCATACATTCAGCTTGTTGTATACTTTCAAAGCAGTAGTGAAATGCAAATTGACAACTTACTAAATGTAATTTCATACATGAGTCTTTAAACAATGTATTTATTTTTACCTAAAAATGGGTAAAAAGTTTCTTTAATAATATAAATTATGTTTAGTTAGAAAATAGATTAAAAATTTGTATTTAGTGAACATAAATATAAATTACTCTAGTACAGTCAGCAACAATAAATTGAGCATCAAATAAGTATCGGTTTCTTGCTTTCATCTCTTTGTATCTGGAATGACAATTCGATATTGCCCCAGGAGATATATCTATAGCTATAAGATATTCCATACAACTTGAATTTCTCCATTTATTTAAATCACCACCTTTACCACAGGCAAAATCTAATACATGCATTTTTCCATCATGAATTTTGCTGTTTCTAAGCATTATCACTGCTTCTTCTATAGAATAATAATAATTTATCATTAAAAAGCTCGATAAATTATAAAAAAATATATATTTTCCTTACGAATAAGTGTTGATTTAACCCAATTGTTAAAATTACGCAAGTACAAGATACGAGATGCATATCTTGCTGATAAGTTATTTTCTCCATTATCATAATGACGAGCAATGGTTACAGACAAAAGTTCTTGAGGTTTTGTGACTTCTGACATGATATGCAGGTTACTAACATATATAATAATGGAAACATTGACCAAATGTTAGTAAAAAGGTAGTACAAGCAAATTCAACCATTACAAATAGTGATCAATAAATAAATGAATTGTTACATGTAATGGTTTTTAAATAGATTAATTTAAAGTTTTGAAAATGTCCAATAAAAAAACTGAATAGACAAACTAAAACAGTACTCAAATAAACAAAATATTGTAGAATGTACTTTAAAGTATTAACATTAAGTGTATGATATACTCAACGGCATTAATTGATTTAAAATGTAAATACTCATCATAATATCTACAGAATACTCACTAGAAACTAATCACTAATCAGTTGTATTGTTTTGTGTTCAGTGGTTTGTTCACTGTTTCTGTATATATTACTGACTGCAGATTACAGATTGATACAGAATCACAGAATAAATTCTGTAACAGAACTACAGACTACGTAAGGGCTTTATACAACACCGGGTACTTAACGAGTGAACGCTGAAACTGAACACAGTGAACACACAACTACACATTACGGTACTCTGACTACTCTGTAATCAAGAAGACAAGAACTCACGAGTACAATCACTACAAACTAGTAACAACAGTCAACAATACATTAATATTATTATAATATTATTGTACTGTGATAGAAGTGATAGTAGTTCAATCACTCGATCGGCCTTTTTAGCGCTTCCTGACGGATGGCGTACTAACCAAAGTGCCGCCTGATTAGGATTTTGGAGTTAGGATTCACTTGAAATCGGCCCTTAAGCTTCTATAACGCCATTTTATATCTACACTAGTAAAAACAAACAAAATAGCCTGTTGTTGTGATATCAGAGCTTTTTCACTTCCCCTGGCCTTTTGATTTTATTGCTAATTGGTATTTCCAGTTTCTGATTTTGCCGCTTTGGCGTTGTCAACGGCTGAAATGTATTTCAATCATATTATCATGGTTATTTTTCTTTGAAACTGACTAAGTGATGTACGCTAAATTTTAACGGTTAAAATTAATATAGATTTGTTGCATGAATATATTTGTGACATTTGTGTGTTAACTTTAGGC